GCAGCAGGCGAGCAAGCCAAAGCTTCATCTGTATTTACAGCTGTTCCCCATTGCTTGCATTACCATCCGAGCTCCACCACCTGTCAGATCAGCTGCAGTACTAGATTCTCATAGGAGCATGAACCCTATTGTGAACTGTGCATATGAGGGATCTAGGTTGTGCACTCCTTATTAGAATCTAATGCCTGATGATCTGTCTTCTGTCACCCCCAGATGACTGTCTCCCATCACTCACCCCCAGATAGGACAACCTAATTGCAGGAAAACAAGCTCAGAGCTCCCACTGATTCTACATTACAGTTAGTTGTATAATTATTTCATTATATATTACAATAGAAATAAAGTGCACAGTAGAGCTAATATGCCTGAATCATCCCGAAACCATCCTTCCTGCTCTGTGGAAAACTGTCTTCCACAAAACTGGTCCCTGATGCCAAAAAGGTTGGTGACCACTGGACTGGAAAAAAATGAGTCTAATGTAAGAAAACCTAAATAGTGGTGAGAATGGAAAAAATGAGACAAATAGGATCCCAACAGTATAAAGGAAGAATTGGTGATGGAGAAGAGACAGCAGGGAGAAACTCACTGAGGCCTGATAGTATGGATTTATAATGTACCCATTAGCCTTGGTGTAAGGACTATCCAACAGGAACAAAAGAAGTAATATTCCTCATACGCTACTGCTTCTGAAGTCTTTATGTGTTAATACCTCTAACTTATTAAAGGCTAGGATCATGGGATACTTATCATTCTTCCACCTCCACTTCCGGCACAGAGCTTAATGGGGACAGAGCAATCTATGCATATCTAATATATACATACATACATACATACATATATATACACGTATATGTAATCCTGTCCATATATGGAGGATTTAGGATCATCACAGGTATTTAAATGGTTAGTTATGTCATTTTATGCTATCAATAGGTGAAAACTCTGCTAACTCTGCTAACTTTCCACTCTGGAAACTCTGCTAACTTTCCACCTATTGACAGTTATGCTATCAATAGGTGGAAACTCTGCTAACTCTCCTTTTATTTTGTTTTCATATTTTGTTCATTGTGAGCTATAACTAGGGTGATCAAGTGTCCAGGATTTTTCTATATAGATCCATTTAGACCTATTTTCTCACTACAATTACTGATAATATCACTCTCCAAAGTTTGAACAACAAATTGTATGGTCACTCCAGATATGTCTACAGAAAAGTGCTAAATATGTATGGTTAGTTTTAAGAATAACTATAAAGAAAACACTGATATAACTATCATCCCAGACAAGAAATGGAACACTAGCAGCTACTAAAAGTCAGTTTCTTAGTCACAACTTCATTCCCTTCCTTAAAGTTCACCACTATCCTCATTTTTATAATAACCATTTTCTTACCCTTTAAACTAATAAAAGCTAAATTATCAAAGCCTAAAATCCCTACAAGGATTTTCTTCCAACTGTTTTATTCAATCTTCAGTGTGGGTAATTTCATATTTATGTTACTAAGAAATGTCTTTGGAAGTACGTTTGTATTTTAATATATGACTACAAGGTTGTAGGCAATCAACCTGAAGATAAATGTGTTTTTGTTATTCATTTATTACACCAAACAAGAAGACACAGCTCTTGGCCTCAAGAATTTGATAATCTAATTTGTAATTACAGTACAGCTCCTTCAATGCAATAATTGGAAGCATTCACAAGTTGGTGTTAGAAGATACTACCTTGTCCTTGGGAAAAACAGGTCAGACTTTCCAGAGGAAGTGACATCTCATTCGGTACTGAAGACAAGTAGGGAGTATGCAGTAGGTGGTATGGGAAGTGAAGACATAGCACAGAGATCCCTTTCTGGACAAATGCAATACTCCACAGATAAACAAAATATGGCACCATTGCGTTACTTCAGGTTGCTCCCTACAACTGAAACACAGCGAATGTTCTCTGTCTTCTCGGGGCAAAGGGATGTCTTTGGGGTCAAGGTATTTTGTAGGGCAATGGTTGAAAGATATAGTTCAATAGACAATGCTAGATCATAAAGGGCCTTGAATGTCATACTAAGGAGTTTGAGGGCCAGCCACAGTGGCTCATGCCTGTAATCCCAGGACTTTGGGAGTCTGAGGTGGGTGAATCAGCTAAGGTCTGGAGTTCGAGACCAGCCTGGCCAACATGGTGAAACCCATCTCTTCTGAAAATACAAAAATTATCTTAGCATGGTGGCACGTGGCTGTAATCCCAGCTACTTGGGAGCCTGAGGCAGGAGAATTGCTGGAACCCAGGAGGCAGTGAATTTGCAGTGAGCCAAGGTGGTGCCTCCACACTTTGTGTGGTGCACAGAGCAGGACTCTGTCTCAAAAGAAAAAAAGGAGGCTGAACTTAATTCTGAGGGCAATGAGAAAACTGGAGGGTTCTAAGCAGGGAGTGAATAACTTGGCAACATGATTGTATTTGCATTCTTGACAGGTTGTTCTCACTACAGAATTAGAGCATGTAAATGGTCAATCCTACAGGGAAGGAAGCTAAGCTAGAGATTGTTGTGGTCATCCACTTGTAAAATGATGGCAGCTTGTGGTAACCCAGATGAAATGTGAGAGAAGTAGATGGTCTTGAGAGAGAGTTGATGGCAGGATCAATAAGATTTTAAGAACTGATTATATGAAAAACTTGGGGAGAGAGAAATAAAAGATGATTCTCAGATTTCAGCTGGATGTGGGGAGCTTAGTTAATACAGATTTGTAGAGGAAGTTTTTAGTACAATGTTGGATTGGTTAAGTTTAACATGTCTATGGTACATACAGAAGGAAATGACCATTAAGTAGTTTTCTTTGTGGCTCTGGAGAGAAATGTAGGACAGAGAAAGACATAGGGAAAACTAACTTCTAGATGGCAAGTGAAGCCATGCATGTGGGGAACTTAATAATTTATTACAAAATTTCTAAAAAGGAAAATATGATTGTGTGCATTGTCTAATATCCATGAGCTTCTTAGGAAATGAGTCTATTAGTGTTCAAGCTTCTAAGAAATGTTTGTACAAAACATTTTTGTGATGTTTCAGTTCTTCACAGTTTGCTTTTTGATCAGTATTATTTCATTTTTTAGTTTGTTTTTGTTTTTCACATTATTCAGGTTTTGGCTTTAACCACAATATGTCAGCCATAGAAATAAACACAGCAAAATGAAGTTATTATGTAACTTTTGCAACTTCAGCAACATAAATACATTTATTTGGATTTAGCAAGTTAGGAAAAATATAAAAGGCCTTAGGTTTATATATTTAGGTTTTTATTCCCAATCCCTAAAGTACAATATGTATAGAAAATGCTTTTTGAAAAAAAAGTATATATTTTTCAATAATTTCAACAGAAATTATTTATTATTCATTTTTACTTATTTTTAGCTTACAGAGATACTTAAAATATTATAAATAAAATAATTTAGGTATATATATTAAATATTTTCACAATAAATATGAGAATGTAAATAAATTTTTTAGTATTACATTGTTTAATAAAAAGACCAGTATAACTTTCTGCTATATAATTCTAATGTACTTACTAATTTTTGAGGGGCCTTCAAAAAATTCATGGAAATGCGTATTATGAAAAATCTATGTATGTATTTCATTTTTATTGCACCAAAATAAACTCTTAACTTGCTGTAACATGCCTGAACAGGATCTCATTCAAGGCACTAAGAAGTATAGAACATCAGTTTGAAAAGAGCACCTGTCAGAGCAATGTGAATTCTGCTAGCATTAAAGCAAGAACAAGCATCAAATTTATAGTGAAGCTTGTGTGTAAGGATGGTAAAATCATTGATGTTTTGCAAAAAGTTTATGAGGACATTGTCCCAAAGAAATCAGTAGTTTAAAAATGGCTAACTCATTTGAATAAGGGACAGGACAATGTTAAAGGTGAAGCTCATGGCAGCTGACCATCTGCATGAATTTGAGAGAAAAAAATTATCTTGTTTGTACCCTAATTGATGATATCAGTGATTAGCAACAGAAACAGTAGCTGACATATAGATGTCTCAGTTGGTTTCACTTATGCAATTTTGACTGAAAAATTGAAGACGAAAAATGTTTACACTCAATGTGTACCACAACTGTTGCACCCAGATCAGCTGTAGACAAGAGCAGATATTTCAATGGACATTTTTAACCATTTGGATCAAAATCCTGAAACATCTCTTCAAAGAATTATAACAGGAGATGAAACATGGCTTTACTAGTACAATCCTGAAGACAAAGCACAATCAAAGCAATGACTACCAAGAGGTGGAAGTAGTCCAGGCAAAACAAAATATGACCTGTCAAGAGCAAAGGTTCTGGCAACAGTTTGGGGAGATACCCAATGCATTTTGCTTATTGACTTCCTAGAAGGCCAAAGAACAATAGCATCCATTTATTATGAGAGTGTTTTGAGAAATTTAGCCAAAGCTTTAGGAGAAATATGCCTGGGAAAACTTCATCAGAGAGTTCTCAACCACAAGGATATCCTGCTCATTCCTCTCATCAAACAAGGGTAATTTTGCAGGAGTTTCTCTGGGAAATCATTAGGCATCCACCTTGCAGTCCTGATTTGGCTCCTTCTGACTTTTAGTTTTCTAATCTTAAAAACTGTTTAAGGGCACCACTTTTCTTGAATTAGTAATGTAAAAATAACTGCACTGACATGTTTAAATTGCCAGGACCCTGAGTTCTTTAGGGTAGACTAAAAGGCTGGTATCATCACTTTAAAAAGTTTCTTGACCTTGATGAAATGTTCAGAAATAAAGTTTCTTTTTTTATTTTTATCTTTTAATTCTTGTTTTTTACATACTTTTTGAAGTCCTCTCATATTCTCTAATTTGAATTTTCAATGTAGTTCTTTTGTATTTTCATTTTGAATGAGCTATAACCGTTGTATTTCTTATGCTGTGTATGTAGCATATATTTTAATTGTTGTTTGCTATGATAATAATTAGATACACTATGTAATACGTGATACTTGTTTCCCATGTAGGAAAATGGTTCTCCTGAAGAACATGCAATCTATGTTTGGGATCATTTCATAGCTCAGTCTGCTGCTGAGAATGTATTTTTTGTTGCTCACAGCTATGGGGGACTTGCTTTTGTTGAACTGGTAAGTGCATATTTTATTCTTTTTAGTTCTATTCTCCTTGTAGGTTTATCCCCTCTTCTTTCTTTCTTTTGGTATCATTACTCTTTAGGTTATGTTATAAAGGATGAAAATAATGTAGTTTGATTAAATAATTTTATGATGCTTGAAAATAATTTATTAATTTACTAATTTATTTTATGGTGACACAGCTTTTTAGTGCTAACCAGAAAGCTTTTTGCCTTTTCCTTATTTACATGCTAGTTTTTAATTTCTACATTATCATGCCAATTATCATACATTTCATGATATTCATTATGTTTCCTGCTTTATGTATGACCATTGAGGCTTATGTTATCTATAAAGTATTTAAAATTTCAAGAGACCTTTTGAATACTTGAGAATATTTTGATAGTTTTTAACTGACTTGTACTTGATACTTGATCAGTATTTTATATAATTAATATTAAAACTACCAGAAAGCTTCCATTAATCTGCTTCTAACTAGAATGCATTGTTTGGTCATAGAAATCTTCATATTTCAAAATAATTGGATTCTTGGAGTTAAGATTATGTGTACATGATGGAAAAAAATGACCAAAATTTCTGAATTCCATCTGTTTTAGATGCAATATTACAATGTCACAATCATGGGCCAGCATGGTTAATGTGATATAATCAATTCTAATAATGGATTAAAGAAGAATTCATGCCTCCCTGTCCATAATATCTTATGTTACAGGAAGTTACCAATCCTATCATAAAATGATTAATTTGATAAAAGGAAAGTTGATAATTTTAAATCCAAATAGATCTAAGTGAACATTAAACTAGAGACACTTTGGCCTCTTTCTCTCTGACATGGAAATTAAATATATTTCTATGACCTTTTCAACCTCCCTGTGCTTATCCTCTTGATTTAGTTATAAAATTGGTAGTGACATCTGAGAATATTTTAGCTGACCCAACTCTACAAGTGCTTCTACTGTCTTAAGATCAATAAATTGTTAAGTTAAATCATTTATTTCCTAAATTTATTTCAGCTTTTAGGGATTATTTTCAACTAATTTTAACTGTACCAAATTAATTTATTTATTTTGATATGTCTTAAGATAGCTCTTTAACATACTAGTGTGATGTACTTTTTAAAATATGAATGTTGTTTTTCAAATAATTCCTTTCAATCCCTACAGATATATATATATAGCTATATATATAAATATATATAGTTATATATCTCCATAGATATAGATTATATATAGCTTATTTTTTCTTTGTAAGCTGTTAAATTACTTAAAGCATGAAATTTCTTGACTTGTAGAGTGACTTAAAATATGTCTGAAAGTCTGCAAGGCTAATCAAATTTCAGAGTTCTATATAACATAAATTCCCATGTTTAAACTTTAAGACAGTTTATGAAAACCTTTACACACCAAACTTGAAATTTACATGCCTTTTGGACAGTTTTTAAAATGAACTGAAGATGCCAGAGTTAACAGATGACCAGTGTGTCAGTCCTATTTTGCCCGTCCTGCTTGTCACACACTGGTGGATATTTCTCCACTTTTGTTCCACTTTAATATAAAGCACACAGATGTTTCAGAACAAGACTTGACTTCTGACCTTGAGGCTATTAGGGTCAGGGTCCTCAGGGCCTGTGAAATTATCACAAGCTGAGCTAAAGTTTTTCTCCATCACAGGAAGTAACCAGTAAGTAAGAAGTTAAAAAGGAGCTTTGTCAGAGAGACAAGATGGTCTCAGTAAGGGTCAGCTTCTGTAGTCTGCTATCTCTGCAGGAGGCACATGCATGGGAGGAGGAATATAATATAACCACTGGCACATCACATATCTGTCAGGCAACGCCAGGGCTGAGAAGTCTATTTAATGTAATATACGTTGTTTAGGTTTTAAAGTATTAATGACAATTATCTCATCGTCTTTTTTTTTTTTCTACTTTTTATGAAATAACTTTGATTGGGGGTATGTAATGGAAGCATACAAATAGTGTCAAATGAATAGAGTGGCTCCTGACCTAATACTATGGATTCCTTTAAGCAAATAACATTGTACCCTGATGAATTTTATATTATTTTTTGACAAATTTGATTAATATGTTTAGGTCTAGTATGTTTTTGTTTGAAAGGCCTTCTAAAATACAGTATTGTTAAAGAAATAATAAACATTGAAATGTTTTTTAATCTTTTGCTTTTGCCTAAAACCGAAAAAAAAAGTTGCTTAATTTTAGGCAAAAGCAAAAGATTTAAAAACTCGTGGTGTTAAAATGTTGACAAATACGCATTCTTTCAGGACTTTTCAACATAACTGTACTGTATGAAATGTTTTACTTTTGTTCAAAATTTTAATATTAACTTTACAAGCAAGTAAATTATAAAGATTAATATGTAAATCTTAAATTACGATTTGGGTTTTTTATCCCAGTAGTGCATTACGCATGTCAGACAGTAAATCCTTTGGATTTCAGTGATTTAAATTGTTGTAAAGTTTTGTTTTTTATTAAAGGTCTCACACACACACACATACACACACACACACACACACACACACACACTTTTTAGGGAACGGTCTTAGTTTGTAGCATCATCATCATGTTTGAATGCATGGAAATTGTTTTTCTACCATTGTCATACAAGTTCACATTCTTTATGTCATGAGTTTCAAAAAAAATTTTATAATGTAAATAAATGTATTTACATTAATGTAATTTTAAATGTAAACTGTAGCAAGTGCAGTTTTACCAGTAAATGTAATTACTTACGGCTTTAATATTTTGCTATTGTTGTTTTTGAAAAGTGAGAATATAATTTACTATTACATTGTATCTTAAAGTGTTGAATTTATCCGGAAGAATATCTTATAATCAGAGATTTATTTTCAAAAAAAATGTTAATTTTATGGTAGTAAATCTTACAACCTGGTTAGATCTAACATCATAAAAAAAAGTATATATTTTATTATAATAAGTAACATGATATTGAAAATATGCTATTAACTGCTTTTATTCTCACCATATGGGAACAACTTAAATTTTTAATTATCTAAACTTTCTGTGTTCCTAGTAAAAATAAATTTTGATAAGACAACTCTTGATTGTAGGATTTAGTCATTAAAGACAAAAGGAAAGAACTGTTTCATCTCATGAATTGATAATAAACTTTTAAAAGTAATATATCTGCCCCTCTTATCTTTTCTGTATACATAAAATAATGCCAATATGGAAAGTTACATTATTAAACCATCATTTACAAAGCCTGAAATTTCTTAAAAATTTTACTTTGCACATAGTAGAATTAGTAACCATAAATAGAATGTATTTACCAAATTCATCTGGAAAGAAATCTACAAATAATGCAACATACTTTTGCCTTACATTCATTGTAAAAAATTCAGGCTCAGTTTTTGAAAATTAACTGTCATTTTAAAACAATGCAGTTTTTGACCTTCTTCATCATCGTTTTCTCCAGCCACTATGATAAAGTGATTTCGTTGCTTTTAATTTTTGGCCATTTCAGTGTTTTGTTCTTATCTTTCTAGGTGATCAGTTTGGCAGAATGAAGTAACCTTAACTTTTTTATTTAATTTGGAAATTAGCAGGCTTTCTTTGTCAGTGCCCAGTTAATGATTTCAGCACACCTTACCTTCCCTGTTTGCAGTGCTCAATATATCAATTTGAATCAAAATTTCCTTGCTTAGCCAAAACAAGAGTGTTCATATATTTTTATCAACATGTTAAGTAATTTTAGTAAACATATTTTATTGGTTTATTGAATCATCTCAACTGATACAAAATTTGTATTTTTCTTGCTACTTTTATTTCCTTTTCCATGTTATTAGTAGTATATTCACAACCATCATTAAAAAATCACTTAGAAATGTGTGAAAACAGCCCCTTTTGAAAGTGTATCGCTACCCACTTTTGATTTTGGTTTCTCCATGCTTGTCAGCACTTGATTGGCACCTCACTTGCATGTGAATTAAAGAATGAAGGGAACTCTATTTTCCTGCCATTGTTCCATGCTGGGCTCCCTGGCCTCCAGGCAGCCTAAGCTGCCCTTCAGCAGCTGATAGAGGACTGGTTTTTGGACATAGCTGTGTGAGGACACTCAACCTCTCTCAACTCTCAGTAGATCTTTTTAAATTGCCTGGAGCATGATTTGGATTTACAGTGACGAGAAAATGGGACTAAAATAATTAGTCTTTTACATCAGCTAACTATGACCTTAAAGAAGTGTCATTTATATTTTGTCCACGAGGAACAACGTAAATTGGATATTGGTAAGATATCTGCATAATGTGATCAATGAGAACAGCTAAAAGTTGGGCTGCTAGGAATCAAAAATTGAGGGAAGTGAAAATGAGGGAGGTAAGCAAGAAAAGCTGAGTCATAATGGTATCCAGATAACTCAGGCCAAAAATAGTCTTACAAAGCTACTTTAAAAATTCAGGTAATTCAGTAAAAATAAGTTGCCTTTTCTAATATAACTACAAGATACATACTAATTAGTTTTGTTAAAGTTATCTTTTGTGTCCAATCTTGTTTTGCCCAGATGATCTAGAAACATCTTGAGGATAAAGAGTCTAATATTGCACTTATCCCAAGTTTGAAAATAATATATATTACAAAAACATTAAATATCTGCACAGTTAGTTGACCAACATATGAAGTTTAAGCCTTAACTGTTTTACTAACTAAATTTGGTGATTCTCCCTACTCTTCATTTAAATATTGACTGATTTGGGAATTTCACCTAATCAGTGAAATTCCCAAATTTCACTGATTTTTTTTTGTTCTGGTGTAAGACATCTGTAGAGCTGGCGTGGTCAGCTCTCAGTCTGACTGAAAAGATTGCTTTTCTGTGACACACTCTTGTAGGTATAGTCTTTTCAATAAAATAGGAAAATGACTAAAATAAATTATTAGTGAATTATCATTACAATAATATCTTTATAATGTTATATGGCAGTCTATGAAAATAAGTCTAGAAAACTTTCTATCTCATCCCCAA